TGTCTCCCCTAATTGTTACGTCGGTCTTAAAATCTCTTTAAGCTAGTGTTATTATCTCATTTTGAAAGCAGTATTACCTCATTCTGAATCAGTAATGATCAGAGATCAACAAAAGCAACGCTCTTTTTAGGCTTTGCCTTTTCATATTACGATAGAAAGGTTGAAACGTCACATCTATACATGCTACACGTACACGTGGACGGTCATTTATGTAATCATAAAATATAGTGGTACGTGTACATGTAGCTCACATATACCCGTAAGGTTGCTAAACCTCTGTAATTACAGTCGGAAGCGACTTATTGTCATGTAATAATCATACAAGGAAATCGCAAGTAATCGACAGTACAATCACTGGTAACCAAATTCAATTTTATCATAACAAGCAAGTAACCATACAGTAGTCGTCGATTAAGAGCCACGGTTGTTCAAACTTCAGTCATTAACTTAACAGGAATTTGCTTTGATTGTCTCCTCATACGCTCTTTATGTATCATCATCTCTGAATTCAATCAAAGTTTATGAGATATATTATTAGAATTGTAGAAATTAGATCGACTCGGATGTCAGCGCTTGAGATTAATGATCGATAATGTAAAATTAAGAAGTGATTATCAATATATATGACATTTTATCGGGTTCAAAAGTTGTAACAATAACTGCTGTTTCCGTTTTGACTAATTAATCCAAATTTACCTCGACTGGAGGTGACCAACAACGTGATTTGTTTAGTTCTTGCTTCGGTGATCGCTATTTCCGGAACCTATACAGTGCCGTTCGGATTGATTGTGTATCAATGGTTGTCGTATTATGTTTAAATTTCTCTCAGAATGTTGTATATTTATGCAAAATATTGTAAATAATTCAATTTCTCACATTTAGTCTTAATGTCATTGAATGACAAAAAGGGATAGTTATTGTTTAACAACTGTTTTCACCCCGTTCCTTTCATATTCAATAAATTATTTTAAATTAGGAACTGGCATGTAATTCAAAAGATCATCACCAAGAAAAATGGAGACTTTATTATTATCACCTTTATATTACTTCCATGCTAAAATAACATCTTTTCAGAAAACATTACTTATCTTTTTTGGTGTTTCCTCCAGTTTTGACTTTTTCAGATTCCACAACCTTTCCCCTCCTTTACTAAAATTTGATTTCGCTAAACTTTGCCATTCCCCATTTCCATCCTATAAAATTTCCACCCACTTAATTTTCAGATATTTCATAAAACTTTCAATGTGTATCATCTTTAAACCTACTTCTCCATATTCAAAAATCATTGTATCCCGTTGATTTTGTCTGGTTTGTACCCCCAGAAAGTTGTAAAGTTGTACACTTTACAAGTTGTAAAGAGAAGTTCATTGCAGATATGTATTAGTCTCCTTAAATCTCTACAATTTGCCACGCGGTTCACTTGTTATTTGTTTGTTTTGTTCGGTAAACTAGTAGGACGAGCCCCGTATACGATATCAGGGATACTTCCAAACAAAACATATTGTCAAAGGTAACGGCCTTTTTATGAACACTTAATAGAAAGTAATTGTATTCAATTTTATTTATGTAAACCTATTGAAAATAAATATAAACAAATGTTAACTTAATTTAGGATATCGTCTCAGTAATGAAATATAGAAATTGGAAGATATCATGACGTCACAAGGAGAAACAGCATTTGTTACAAATGTAATTTGAGAGATATAGAAGACGAGTTTCATTTGATTTTGATTTTTTTCATTTCATAGCGATCTCAGGCACAGATTAATCAAACAATGTTATTACAGAAAACCCTCGATTTACTTAGTATGAATAATGTTAAAGAGCTATCCAAGTTAGGAAAATATTTATACTAATCATTTAAGAGGCATTAATTCAAGGTAAATGTATTATGGTGTTTCAAAACTGTAATGTGTTAATGAAATATTGTTATATGCACATTATTGAACGGTGTTTTATGTATACTGTGATGTCACTCTCCTGTTTATTCTAATTATGTTTAGAGAATTTTATATATATACATATAAGCCTACGGGTTTTTTGCTGATAAAGAATGGATAAAGAATGTGAATGAATGATGTCACGGAGCAGCGGTACGTCTCAAGATTCAAGATTCAAGATTTTTTTTAATAACGCTCTGACACACAAAGTGTGTAACAAGAGGTCAAACAAAATAACATCAATCAAAATAAAACATGACAGAGAGAGTAGATTACACACGGACAGATTAAGCATTATTTCATAGAAAGATTCAGCAATGTATCAGATGTATTGTTACAAAGAAACAGTAAGGTTATACATGAACAGATTCAACATTATTTTCTTACATGTGAAACAGTAAGTTTTCACATAGCTATTTCATACATGTGAAACAGTAAAATTACGCCTCATTATTTCATACATGTGAAACAGTAAGATTACACATCCTCATTTCATACATGTGAAACAGTAGTATTATACAAGGACAGTTTTAGCATTATTTCACACATGTAGATTACACATGAACAGATTCAGCATTAGTTCATGCATGTGACAGAGTAAGAATATACATGAACAGATTTATCAGCATTAGTCATATATGTATTGAATACTCAATTTTCACAGCAAATTATCTTCACTGCCATAATCATAATGCAAAGTATAGTATTTTTGACATACTGATTTATTTCGATTGTTATTTTTTATAATTATTTGCAGTTTTACAAGAAATGTACAAACCCTTTTGATTAATCGTTTGTTACATATTGTAAACATTCCATTCATTTTATCAACATTTGGGTTGGTGTAATGATATTTTGGAATATTTTTTTCCCTAATCTGGCGTCTCAGCATTGAGTACTTCAGGTTAATCAAACTCTTGACTTCATTAACTCGAGGATTGTTGGCGTTGTCCTAGCCTTATACTATTGTTTACCAAAAAATAAAGTCTCGCTACTGGTCGAGTCATTCGTCTACTGTCAGATAAGCGGGTATTCTGAAACTCATGCAACATGAGAAAAAATGACAGTTGTGTGTAATTATTTGACAGGTTTTAACAAATGTTGTGTTAAGCACAAAATAATGTAAAATAAATCGTTGTGACAAAAGACCACGACTAGCCAGGGACCAGATTTAGTTCTCTTACTTTTCAAAGAAAATGTTTTTACATGTATAATATATTTTTATTGTAAATTACGTTGAAATATACATTGTTTCGATGAAGTACTCCTGCCTTACTTTGTAATTAGCGAACCATCTTTAAAAAACTGAAGAATGACAAAATCCTTTTATGTCAATGCTCTATTTCAAAACTGCAAGATTTGTTTGTGCAACTCTCTGATAATCTGCGTCAGGTGAACACTTTGTTATGGAGACAAAGGAGCACGTGACGCTTACAATGGTGAGGTTAAGTAACGAGGGCTGGTCAGGATCAGTTACTTGCTGTTACATCGACCAGGTTGAGTCGGGTCGTTGACGTAATAAATACTTACCGGTAAACTGTAGGTGGTCAGAGTAATCAGTTACATTGTTATGAAGCTAGGGCAATCATTACTACAGAATGAGGGAGTGTAGCACGTTCTACATCAAGTCGTATATAGCCACACCCAATAACATCTTTGATTAAACTGGAGTGTAACTGTGGTATGCTATTACTAAGTAATTTGAGACTTCTATAAATAACAGTACACAGTAGTACTACCTACCAGTAATATGTACTTTAAGACCTCTTTAAATGAAACTTCGAAATGAATGCAGATACATTATTAATATCCAAATGGTGCGTCATTCTTCATTCTAATGCAGACACGCGTTCATGTAGAAAAAGAGGTGATAGGTTTTAGACACTAGACGAAATTGGCACTTTTAGTAGAAACATTACTATAGTATAAGTATATTTCTCTTTAATTTGATAGACCTGTCCTTAACCCTACTTATTTTTTATTAATATTTTTCTAGAAACGACATAATTTTTATTGACCAACCATCAATCTGCATTGAATCAAACATCATTTTTGATACATATTTACCTTCTCCATATTTTAATCTAAAGTAATAACCTACGTTAATTGGTTTGTATTCTCGACATTGTATAATACCATAATTTCCTCTGATACAACGTTTTATCAAACGATGTTGAATCATACATCAGTACAACTGTAGAAACAAACGTATAGTAATACACATCTATTGTCATTTTGTAACAAAAGTAGCTTTCTGAAATAGTATGACGAATTTTTTTTATCAAAAAAGTGTTTATTTATAGAAACAATCAAGCCTAATTGAAAATTTAAAAGGGTTGTCTGATGTGTACATAGTGTGTCATAATATGAATACCCTCATGCAATATAAAGAGTAACCTTCTTTCCTTATCAAAGATACCATCTATGTATATCATGTTTCCACATAATTGATTATAAGAAATAAGTGTATTTCATTCTGCCTGCTATTTGTGGAGACTAGAGCATTAGCCTGGTGCTGCTGTACTGATAAGCCAGTTTATCCTTTGTGCAAATTGGTTCACATTTGATAGACTTGGAGTCGTACCACTTGGCCAGTAAACCAACAGAGGTCGTCTATGTATACACTCGATCTTAACAATATCACATGTAAACATCAAATCTACCAAGTCACGATCCAACAACAACACCGAGAATCCTGTAGGACTTAAATCGTTGTAGGATTTATCTAATGAATCATTTAATTAGTGAAAATCTTGTTTCAAAGATATTCATTCCATCACTTTTATCTTGTACACGATATGAACTGCAACTGGTCTTGCATATGTGGCAATATTATTACTGAGGGAAATGCGACACAGGTGAAATAACAAAATAGAAAAATGTTGCTGCTAGGAAAAGTTATATTACATAGCGTAGATTGTACCCGTTGTTATTATTACATAAATTGGGTGTTACCGATGAGGGAAGTATTGTTACGTAAGGAGAGAGTGCTAAGGTAAGGTGTAACGAGGATGAACGTTATGAAAACCAAAATATGCTGGGTATCCTTTACTTTTACAGTGACCTGTAATGGTGACACTCATGGCCCACGTGATTGGCCTGGGCCTGTTGGTTATCGGACAGTCCAACGCCATCTATATGGACGCTACACTGACAAACGCGGACTTCCAGCGCATATTCATGTTTGATAGACAACGTAAGTATATCGTAGAAGTAAACTTTGAATATGTTTTATCTAAACTCAAAGTCCATTGGGCCATTTGTTTCTGTTTACATTAGCAGATTATACCGGATATAAAATATAAAACCATTCATTTTTCAACTTGGTTGCCTTAGAAATGTTTTTGTTTTGTAGATTTTGCTGTCACGTTGCTTTTTTGTGATAATTTAATGCTTTATATCTCTTCCTCTGGAATGATTTCACTTTCCAGTATTCGTTTATCTGCTTATAGCCGAATGCAGTTTGAAGAGGTTGACCGGATATAACAATAGTTTAAAACAGCTATTGTACCTGTCTGCCAAATGGAAAGAGATATCAAATGGCAGCCCCTTTTCATCGCGCATGCGTGGATTTACGCGTGTTCGAAAGACCAACAGAAGACAAAGTTCAACAAGATTAATGAAGCGGATACCACTTATAGGCACCGGAACAAGAGATTACGCATGTGATACCACACGTCTAACAATACAGACCATCATAGAATATGTACACAGGGGCACCATATGTGGATTCCAAGTCGGCGGTATACGTTTTGGATTAGGAAAATGATATCTTAGACCGCAGCAATTGATTGATTTTTCTTGACCAACGCTGGATTATGTTGACATTTGAAATGGGAATTAACAGAAAGACTGCAATTTGCCAAAATGATATGGTCATTATACTGTGTACAAGTTAAGGAAACTATATTCCTACTCTTCAGACTATATTTATCCAAAAATACACATTCTCAGTATATTTCTCCAACAAAAAAAAACAAGTTGTAAGTGGACAGCTAGAAAAGAAATATTCCAAGGCACACAGGCTGTTTCAGCGTAAGTGAACAGACAAGCTAAAATTATCCCAATTCTTTAGATTTCAGAGGTATATGTATATTTGAGTTGTGAGTGTAAAGATTGTACACAACTTTTTCGAGGTCTTGCTATTTCGACTAGCACTATCCACAGGAAAGTAATTTCGTTGGGTACATGTGTGTTACAAAGATATTGGGTTATTTTGTAATGAATGTCCTACACCATTCATTTTGTGAACATTGTATACACTTATTGGAGTTCATTGTTATATATATATCAATTTCTACTCAAGTTGGACTCAATGTAACTACCAAATGTAACCTGTTTCATTTGCCGATGTGCGTAAGAATACATATTTTCAGATTTTGCGAAGGGAGATAACTATTCATATTTTTTAACAAAGAAGATATACCGTTACTGTACCACTTGATGAGATTTTACATTTTTGTCGGAGCTAAACAAGAAATTGCTCAAACAACCAAAAACGACCAATCATCAAAATATTATCAGTTCATGGTTGCTAACGGTAGTGACAAGTCATGTACTCTTCTAGAAATTCTCCCCCAGCAGCGGTGGAATTAACTTCTGGTCCACTGGCCACATGCCAGTCGGTTTCCGGGTGGACCAGTAAGTTTTTCAACAAGCTATCCAGCCTGGCCAGTAGATATTTTGTTAACTTATCAAAAACAAATATCAGCAGATTTGAAAAGCTTTATTTTAGTCAAAGAATGTTCCACAGAGCGTCTAGATTTCATAAGTTCTGGTGGTGGTGGTGATAGTGTGGGAGTATTTTGGCGCTCGATCGGGCCTGAAGCCCTCGTTATCTGGATCAGTGCACTTCAAACAGGACCAGTTGCTTTTTACTTCATTTCATTTCAACAGATTTTATTGACTTTTTATATGTCCATTGGATTGGACATCAGGCTAGGCCTATTCAAGTCCTTTCCAAACTTATTTACAAACATTACATATATTCTGTCATAACAATCCAATTAAACAGTGCAGGGGGAATAACTCCAAATTAGCTTGTGAAATGAACATTTTACAACTTTTATTTAATCATTTTCTGTTTATGTTTTAGATATTAACAATTAAAGAAATCATGTATATTTATTGACAACCCATCCTACATAAAATCCAAGGGATACAGGCCCAAAAGTCCCTGTGTATAAACACATTGACCATCCACCCAATGGATATATAGGATAAGTTACCAAGAAATAAACATTTTGTAAAATTTCAGAAAATGATATGGATTCATATAGGAAATTGTAGATATTATTATGTATTATTGGGGTTAATTCTCTTAAAAATTTAACAAAGAACTATAGAATACTCATGTAACTATGAAATAGTTAGAACAGATTATAGAATAGTACATTCATAAATTCCATCCAGTCCAGCCGAACACCAGAGATGTTGTGAAGATAGATATATACCAGTATCAATACTTATTAGCAGAGTGATAATGACACTATAAATAATAGCATCACTTTCAATGTTAAGTTTTGCTGTGAGTGAGATTACATATCAAGCCTATTAGTTAGACAAATGTAGTCAGATAGACTTTGTAAAATGGATATGTTAATATCAGCGCTGCATATTAAGCATCCCTTTAATAGAGTTTTTAGATTAAAATGATCATGATTACCGGTTATACCAAATTGAGAAATTTGTATTACTAATTGCATTCTAAAGTTGTTATAGAGTGGGCATTCAATTATAAAATGAAATGCATTTTCAATTTCATGTCCACATCTACATGCTGGTGTGTCATTCAGATGATCCATATATAAGTCACTATTTAGGTTGCTAGCATGATTTCTCAGCTGACAAATTATGATATTGAATTTTCTTGGCCCATAGTATTTAAATGTGCTAGCTATTTCTTCAGTGTTGTTCAGATTATCAGACTTGATGATATTTTTAAATTGTTGAAGGGAAGTAGCATTTAAAGTTTCTGCAGATAGAAGGTTCAATTCTCTACACAATTCTCAGTTCTACAGAAAGGGGGATTGAAAATACGGCTATTTCTTAGTGGGTATCTTACATTTATATTGTTGTGAAGGTATGGTTCAATGATGTTTTCTAGGTACTTAGGCGATTCATTATTTAAAATTTTGAACATAAGTGGTAATTTATTATTATTTTGCCTACAACAAAGTCATTCAAGTCCAGTTTCTGCATAAAGCTTACAATGAGAGGTCCCTCTGCGCAATCCTGTAATAATTCTTAATGCCTCTAGCTGGATTGACTCAAGACTATTTTTATTTTGGTTACTACAGTTATCCCATACTACATCCCCATATTCAAGTATTGGTCTAATAAAAGAGGTATATATTGTTGTAAGACTGTTTCTATCCAATTTGAGTTTTAACATTCTCAATATATTCATTTTTTTATAAGCTAGCTCATAAATATTATCAATATGATATGTCTATTTTCCATCACTACTAAAAGTTAAACCAAGATGCTTATGAGTTTGTTTATTAATTACAGTTTCATTACCAAATAAGATATCTGGATGATTTAGTTCCCTTTTCCTCGAGAAGATTACAGGTTCAGTTTTAGTGAATTAAATTTGATGTCCCATTTTTTTGCCATGCATTAATACAACCTAGATCATTATTTAATTTCACTACAATTTCATTTTGATTGTTGTCTATTACTTCATAGAGAGAATTATCATCTGCAAAAAGTTTTATTTTACTTGTTACACATTCTGTTATATCATTAATAAAGATTAAGAAAAGAAATGGACCGAGGACCGAGCCTTGGGGTAAACCGGCTTTGACATGCTTAAAAGTTGAATAAAAAACCCTCTGCTGATACTCTCTGCTTTCTATCAACTTCTTTTTACTTCAACTGGCCCTTTGGACCCGTAACTGATTTTGTTTAATTCCATCCCTGCTCCAGCTACCCAGTCTGCCTCTTGTGTCAGTGGATCCATGTGGTCACGTCATATATGAAATACAGTCGAACAGCCAACTGCCATGTCAAATTGTTTCGTGCTTTCAAGCCACGTCCGGTTTCCTGTCTAATTCGACATTTGATTACTGCAGCTTCACATTCCAGAAGATGTAGAACACACGGGGACCTGAGAATTTGTTACAGCTATATTTGTACCTAAACTAGGATGTTAATAATAATAATAATACATGTTTTGGGGGTTTAGATCGACTTTTGGTAATAATGACACCCAATTATTATAATTATATACGAGAAGGGTGGAAAGCTCTCGATGTCGAAAAGTCGACCCCGCCTAATTTTCTTGCATCAAAACCAACATTTCTAGTTGATCTACGAGAAAACGCTTAGTACCGTTGTGGAAAGATGGATAATTTTCTTTTAAGAATCTCCTTCATGCACGTAAACTGTATTCTCCTTCCGCGAAAATGATCTCTGTTTCCTTCAAAAACATGCCATTTCAAAGTTTCAAAGTTTTTCGTTGTCATCGTTCCACTTTTTTTAATATTAATGAGGTTGATGTCAGACACGTGCCGAGACCCGTGGTGTGATTAGCTGGACGCGCAGCCATTTTTTCGCTTAACCAACCAACACTGCATGTTTCGGCACCAACCAACACTGCATGTTTCGGCACGAGGCTGACGTCAACCTCATGCCTACGTAAAACTTTGAAACTTTGAAATGGCGTGTTTTTGGAGGAAACGGAGATCATGAACTGTAGAAGTAGAGGGGTGCCTACAATAGCCTGTGACATCTGATGGTGTCTGACTTAACTCTAACTCAGACGTAATTCTGAGTCTATCTGTACTAAAGAAGCATAAACAAATTCTGCGAAAATATAAGAAAATTAAATTTCATGTTAAACTTACTATTTCAACGGTAACACATCAGTGTATACATACACATATTCAAAGTAAACGGCTTACGAAACGTGCAAGGACGACAACAGGACCTACCAGGGAATACCAAAAATAGCCCTGTCAAATTTAAAATATTAATCTGAAGTCATTTACTGTACACAAATAATTGTGGCAACCATAATATCACGCGTCACCCTCGAGTAAGGAAAGGCAGTCGAGTAAGGATAGTGAGTCAAGTAAGGAAAGGGAGTCGAGTAAGTATAGTGAGTCAAGTAAGGATAGTGAGTCAAGTAAGGATAGTGAGTCAAGTAAGTATAGTGAGTCAAGTAAGGATAGTGAGTCGAGTAAGGATAGTGAGTCAAGTAAGGATAGTGAGTCGAGTAAGGATAGGCAGTCAAGTAAAGATAGGGAGTCGAGTGAGGATAGGCAGTCGAGTAAGGATAGTGAGTCAAGTAAGTATAGGCAGTCGAGTAAGGATAGTGAGTCGAGTAAGGATAGTGAGTCAAGTAAGTATAGTGAGTCGAGTAAGTATAGTGAGTCAAGTAAGTATAGGCAGTCGAGTAAGGATAGTGAGTCGAGTAAGTATAGGCAGTCGAGTAAGGATAGTGAGTCAAGTAAGGATAGTGAGTCGAGTAAGGATAGTGAGTCAAGTAAAGATAGGGAGTCGAGTAAGGATAGGCAGTCAAGTAAGGATAGTGAGTCGAGTAAGTATAGGCAGTCGAGTAAGGATAGTGAGTCAAGTAAGGATAGTGAGTCGAGTAAGGATAGTAAGTCAAGTAAAGATAGGGAGTCGAGTAAGGATAGGCAGTCAAGTAAAGATAGGGAGTCGAGTGAGGATAGGCAGTCGAGTAAGGATAGTGAGTCGAGTAAGGATAGTGAGTCAAGTAAGTATAGGGAGTCAAGTAAGTATAGTGAGTCGAGTAAAAATAGGGAGTCAAGTAAGGATAGTGAGTCAAGAAAGGATAGGGAGTCAAGTAAGTATAGTGAGTCAAGAAAGGATAGGGAGTCAAGTAAGTATAGGGAGTCAAGTAAGGATAGTGAGTCGAGTAAAAATAGGGAGTCAAGTAAGGATAGGCAGTCGAGTAAGAATATTGAGTCAAGTAAGTTAGTGAGTCAAGTGAGTATAGGGAGTCGAGTGAGGATAGTGAGTCGAGTAAAAATAGGGAGTCAAGTAAGGATAGGCAGTCGAGTAAAGATGTGGAGTCAAATAAGTATAGGGAGTCGAGTGAGGATAGGGAGTCGAGTAAGGATAGTGAGTCAAGAAAGGATAGGGAGTCGAGTAAGAATAGTGAGTCAAGTAAGTTAGTGAGTCAAGTGAGTTTAGGGAGTCGAGTGAGGATAGGGAGTCGAGTGAAAATAGGGAGTCAAGTAAGGATAGGCAGTCGAGTAAAGATAGTGAGTCAAGTGAGTATAGGGAGTCAAGTAAGGATAGGCAGTCGAGTAAGGATTGTGAGTCAAGTGAGTATAGGGAGTCGAGTAAGGATAGTGAGTCAAGTGAGTATAGGGAGTCGAGTAAGGATAGGCAGTCGAGTAAGGATTGTGAGTCAAGTGAGTATAGGGAGTCGAGTAAGGATAGTGAGTCAAGTGAGTATAGGGAGTCGAGTAAGGATAGTGAGTCAAGTGAGTATAGGGAGTCGAGTAAGGATCGTGAGTCGAGTAAGGATAGTGAGTCGAGTAAGTATAGGTAGTCGAGTCAAGTTAGGGAGTCAAGCAAGGATAGGCAGTCGAGTAAGGATAGGGAGTCAAGTAAGGATAGGAAGTCGCAAACAGCGATTAAAGAAAAGTGTATTTTTTGATATTTTCACACAGTAAACAATTTGATTCTGTATTTTAAGAACCATCAAACAACATTGACAAACCTTGAGCAACACGTTGCATGCCCGCATTACATCCGCGGTACTATACTTCGATGGGATCTGACTATGAGTCGGAAATATGTTGGGTCAATAGAAAGTATTTCATCGAACCAATACTTCAGACTTGATCGACATTAGTAAGAAATCAGGGGCTTCGTTATCAGTGATTCAATCGCCGCAATCATCATCATTATCTAATGTTGTCTTCATCGGTGACAGAAAAATCCAGGAACAAAAGTCGCTTCCATAGGAATCCTTTAGATGCCTGTTCTAGACCTTTCTCACATTTCAACCCGCTCAAACACTGCATTCCTCCTGACCAGTTCTCCGTATCTTCCGTTTCCCAATTAAGAGAGCGTCTGAATGCCTTGATTGTGAAAGTAACGATCTTGAAAGCACGATGTGTGTGAAACAAATTTTGATTCAGCAATGTCGTTTTCGCAAAAATAAGAAATACTTACGGAGGTTTTCAGTGACATACTTGAAAACTGGACACGAGTTATCAACGAGGATGTATCTGATTACAGTATATAGAATGATTGATACTGGACATGTTTCGTCAGTAAAAGAGAATTAAGGATACTAGACTACAGTGAGAGTAAATATAAAGACACGTTGAATATGTCGGAGATCTATGGGAACTAAATATTGCAAAGAATGGAAGTAACTAAATAAGAAACGATAAGGGAAGTGAAGCAAAACGATGGAGAAGGCAAATGCGACGGATGATCACATTTATAGTAAAAGAAGAGCACGGACAAAGCAAATGCAATGATTGAGCGGATTTCTTTAGAAGTGTGTCTGTAACAAACCCAACCAGTTGGTTAACGCACCTTCTACAATCAAATACACAATGCCAATTCTAAATGGTAAAGTTATCAGATGTAGAAATCAGGAAAGCATTGCAAGACCTGGCCAGGTGTGGGTGGACTGCTTCATAAACTACTGCGAGAAACAGCGAACACGACCGTGAAAATTTAATACAACAATAGTAGGGAATTAACAAATACAACGTTGGAAAGAGGGATACATCACAGACATACACAATACGGGAGACATTATCGATCACTCAGTCTAACCAGCGTGATTTGTTGTTAAACAGTTGCTGAACCCTACACTTTAGGACTAATAATGTAATATTTTAATCAGTCAGCTACGTGTCATTGATGTTGTCACAGGGTGCTATGACCAAATCCGTCATGGGATCTCGTATCATAGCAAGCATATTATTACTTAGTACGATAGATAACAAACAAAACAGGTAAAATATTATCAATATATTTATCTATTCCATGAAATACAATACACATGGATTATATTTCCAATAACGATACATTTAATTCTTCAGATTTCTTTTGTTTGGAAACATGAATAAATCTGTGATTCGTTTTTGTTATTTACAATTAAGGCTATCAGCACTCTCGAGTTCCTTACACAGCTTCGTCGATCCGTCGGACTCGTATCACAATACCAGCCTCTCCGCTAGCCTATACAGACCATCCACAGTCTGGAATGAGGAAACGATATATAAATTAGTATTAGCGTATACTCTTGGTTATTCCTTATGACTGCATTTAAATGACAGAGAACATTTATAAGTGCATAGTTGGTGAATATTAATCTAATTCTTATCTTCACAAATGCACAAAACACAATATAGTGTTGTAATTTAACGAATCAGAAGTAAGAATTTCAAATACCACGCCAGATAAAGCGGTAAACGACGTCATCACTTTATTTCTTAATTTAAATGACAGCGAATATTTTGAAGTGCTTAGTAAGTGAATATTTATTTATGTCTGATCTAAAAAATGCACAAAATATATCAGTGTGCTTTAATTTAATCGCCGAGCAAATTTAACGAATCGGAAGTAAGATTTACAAAAACAACGCGAGATATAGCGGTATACGACGTCATCAATGTTTGTGTTGTCGGGTTCTTAGGTCATGCGATGTACAAAAAGATTCCAAAGAAATGTTAATTTAACCAGTCTCCACTACATTTGTATATACACCAGACCATCATATTAAATGTCCCAGGTTATTTTACTTATCTATGTGATAACATACCTCTTCTTCTCGGAACTCGTGCAGAAGTGGAGATTCTTTCTTCGAGAATTTCCCCTTCGGATAGTTACGTGGTGTTGATTTAGCTACGGTCCTATCGCCAGAGTTCACCTGCCTTTTAGGTTTGGACCACTGTACCTAAACAGGGCAGAATTCTTCAGTGAGTTAAAACTTAGAATGCAGCAAACTGAAAATAAACTGAAATCGGAACACTGACGCGGAAGTCTGACATGAGAGATGTGTTCTACGTATTGAAAGCCGAGAAGACTTCATTACTCTCCAGCAAGTATTTGTTTATTTCGTTTCAAGTCAATTTATTTGTAATTGTTGGTGATTACATACGAATATTAAAATATTGTGAATAGTTCACAAAATACACAAACGAATGTCACTCATTAGTCTATGTGTGATCCTTATTCACGAGGGAACATTATACAGTTATTTCCCTTGTTGTAATGAGAAACGATTCATTGTTTCCCCAAGATTATTCATGTTCCCAGAGGGCTAACAGTTATCGTGTTTCCATACCTCAAGGATATTGATACTTTAGTATAACAGCAGAGAATTCGTTCACGATTACGCGCAACTGTCGTCTGCCTTAAGTAGTCACTCGGAACTCAAGTGAGGTGCCTCGTGCTCATATTGCTAGAGAGGACCCGCATGACTATATAGCTTGACAGCTATCTATCATTGTCTTCATGTGGCTTTAAAATACCTGTTTTTTCATGCTTCGTTCACGGGGACTGTTCCCATGTGAGCTCCCTGTTGACACTTCTTCATCCCCGTTTGTCCGATCGCCTTCATTCTCCTTCTGACTCTCCTCTGCATCTTTATTTTCGATGAGTTCCATCTGTGAAACCACGCACTGTTTCAAAAAAGAAGAGATGGTATTTCAGTTATCAAATGTCATGTAAACATGTTTTCCCTGTTATGTAAGTGCAAGGGAAGAATTATATGCTTCACACGTTCGATTACTGGAATTATCGCTCCAATCTTTTACTAGTTCACTAATACTGGTCACGTTATGTCCTCGCCTGATATATTGACGTAACAGGTATATAAACTGACAGTATTCACGTGTGTGTTACGGTAGATTTCTGATATATTGCGAGGATATGTATTTGTAAGGCAAACTGAACGAAGAGCAAAACAGGAGAGGGAAAATGCACGGCCAGACCGGGGTTCGAACCCGGGACCCTCCGAACTCTAGACGGATGCTCTACCAATTGAACTATCTGGTCGCTGCCGACCCAGTCCAATTCCGCTACATATGTACCTCCTGACTAATTCAGTATACTTCCGTGCAAATGCAGTATACACTTCCTCGTAGAGAGTGATTTGGTCTTTCACGTGAAAGTATTTAACCAATGACATTCAAGCTAATGTTATATGAAGGTCACCACTTGTGTTACTGTCAATTCTGACCTGAATCTTATCCATGGAGTGCGGAGAAAGCTCGGACCTCTCGGCTACGTGCTGGTAATATGGACTGTCGTCATGCATGATGGACGGATGGCCGACCTTCTGTAAGGGGCGGAGATAACAAAACAAGTCTTTAGTCTGACCAAATCCCTCACTACGTTATCACTATGTAACCAATTAAATATCATTTTGAATTAAACAAGATGTAATAAGATGCTATGAGATTATACTGCAACAATTACAAGCAGCAACGCCAATTTCCCTATGAGTGTTAAAGATTTTCACAAACTGTGTTATTTTCTTAACATTACTTGAAATGTCTTATCTTTTTCTATCAGTCTATGTCCCCTCTCCCTCAAACACACACAGCACCCCTCCCATTGTTTACCTTTTTGGTGTGTGCATTATCCTTCCGTTTGTGCTTCCTCTTCTTAGAGCGCTTGTGTTTACCGTCCGGATGTTCCATCATACTAACTGTTATGGTACCCTCCAGCATCAGCTTCCGGAGTCTTTGTTTCTCTGCATCCTCCAACGCCTTCTCCTTCTTGTCCAGATTAGCCTAATATGAGACATAGAACATAGAATATTTCTGTTAAACTGCATTCTCCTTATGTTCAATGCAATTATGTTACAAATATAAATTTCTTATTTCAGTTGCTTAAAGTATAATAAATGTTTAATCATTGAAAGATAACACTTCATAACATTACGTCGCCTCTTCATGACGTCATAACGCCCTCTAACTTCACCTTCCTGTTCTACCTGTTATGTTAACAACCTCGTACTACTCTCTTACGAGTGAGGTAACAACAACACATGCCATCTCTCCTGCCTACTACTCTCTTACGAGTGAGGTAACAACAACACATGCCATCTCTCCTGCCTACTACTATCTGACAAAATAACATTCCTTACATCGCCTCTCACTGAAATTACAACCCGCTACGTAATAGGGTTATCTTCAATACCTAATTTCTTAACACTGACGTCAGAAGAAAATGTATTCGTGTACTTTTCTCTGATGCCATATTATTTCAAGAGGTTGCTTCGTTCCCCAAGCTGACGTCATATAAATACGTCATATCTTACTTATTTTTTAAGTCACAACACCCCTCAAGTAACCTACTCCTTTTTGACGAATAATAATCCGTCACTTCACATAGTTCTCATACCAGACATCGCACCATCCCTTCCATTGTATTACAACTCCCCTGTAACAAACCTCATAATCTTCCTGGAGCATGCGCAGCAAAGTCTCTGTGTAGTTGCGATCGTTGAGCCTGATGACGTCAGTACCCATCAGTCGCTGTAAGTTGTGGCGTATCCGCATTGTGGAATGTGAACTGCGGAATAAAGTAACAAGAAAAGTTAAATGGTGTTTTCTACGGTCGTTTCTGCTGACTGGACATATGAGAAATAAAAGATGATCTGCTACCCTCATTGCAACATTTATGTATTTCTTTTCTCACTTCCCTACTCCTGCTGCTCTGCGGTGTCTCCTCGTATGACCGTATCTGTTGTTAGGACATCAACCACAAACAAACAAGATGTGCGTACATTACAGGTTGTCTCTTTTCCCACACTGGTAAATGTAAGAGGTCTGGTTTTTATTTCAATCCATGATTGGGTTGTCATTCCTCAAAGCTGCAGACTGCAATTATGAGATGGCGGCGAACATCAATGAAGAGAGGGGTAAGCAACATTGATGTCTTCGTGTGTCTACTAACATTGATGTCTTCGTGTCTACTAACATTGATGTCTCCGTGTGTCTACTAACATTTATGTCTCCGTTTGTCTACTAACATTGATGTCTCCGTATGTCTACTAACATTGATGTCTTCGTGTCTACTAACATTGATGTCTCCGTGTTTCTACTAACATTTATGTCTCCGTGTGTCTACTAACATTGATGGCTGCGTGTGTCTACTAACATTGATGTCTTTGTGTGTCTTCTAACAGTGATGTCTCCGTGGGTCTACTAACATTGATGACTTCGTGTGTCTACTAACATTGATGTCTCCGTGTGTGTACTAGCATTGATGTCTTCGTGTGTCTACTAACATTGATTTCTCCGTGTGTCTACTAACATTGATGTCTTCGTCTCTACTAACATTGATGTCTTCGTGTGTTTACTAACATTGATGTCTTCGTGTGTCTCCTAACATTGATGTCTTCGTGTGTCTACTAACATTGATTTCTCCGTGTGTCTACTAAAATTGATGTCTCCGTGTGTCTACTAACAGTGATGTCTCCGTATGTCTACTAACATTGATGTCTTCGTGTCTACTAATATTGATGTCTTCGTGTGTCTACTAACAGTGATGTCTGCGTGTATTCACTAACAGTGATGTCTTCGTGTGTCTACTAACATTGAGGTCTACGTGTGTCTACTAACATTGATGTCTTCGCGTGTCTACTAACATTGATGTCTCCGTGTCTACTATCATTGATGTCTTCGTGTCTACTAACATTGATGTCTTCGTGTGACTACTAACATTGATGTCTCCGTGTGTCTACGAGCATTGATGTCTTCGTGTGTCTACTAACAGGGATGTCTGCGTGTATTTACTAACATTGATGTCTTCGTGCGTCTACTAACATTGATGTCTTCGTGTGACTACTAACATTGATGTCTCCGTGTGTCTACTAGCATTGCTGTCTTCGTGTGTCTACTAACATTGATGTATTCGTGTGTCTACTAACATTGATGTCTTCGCGTGTCTACTAACATTGATGTCTCCGTGTCTCTACTAACATTGATGTCTCCGTATGTCTACTAACATTGATGTCTCCGTGTCTACTAACATTGATGTCTCCGTGTGTCTACTAACATTGATGTCTCCGTATGTCTACTAACATTGATGTCTCCGTGTATTTACTAACATTGATGTCTTCGTGTGTCTACTAACATTGATGTCCTTGTGTGTCTACTAACATTGATGTCTCCGTATGTCTACTAACATTGATGTCTCCGTGTGTCTACTAACATTGATGTCTTCGTGTGTCTACTAACAGTGATGTTTGCGTGTATTTACTAACAGTGATGTCTTCGTGTGTCTACTAACATTGATGTCTTCGTGTCTACTAACATTGATGTCTTCGTGTGTCTACTAACATTGATTTCTCCGTGTGTCTACTAACATTGATGTCCTTGTGTGTCTACTAACATTGATGTCTTTGTGTGTCTACTAACAGTGATGTCTGCGTGTATTTACTAACAGTGATGTCTTCGTGTGTCTACTAACATTGATGTCTCCGTGTGTCTACTAACATTGATGTCTTTGTGTGTCTTCTAACAGTGATGTCTCCGTGGGTCTACTAACATTGATGTCTTCGTGTGTCTACTAACATTGATGTCTTTGTGTGTCTGCTAACATTGATGTCTCCGTGGTGTCTTCTAACATTGATGTCTTTGGTGTCTACTAACATTGATCTCTCTGTGTGTCTACTAACATTGATGTCTCCGTGTGTCTACTAACATTGATGTCTTTGTGTGTCTACTAACAGTGATGTCTCCGTGGGTCTACTAACATTGATGTCTTTGTGTGTCTGCTAACATTGATGTCTCCGTGTGTCTACTAACATTGATGTCTCCGTGTGTCTTCTAACATTGATGTCTTTGTGGGTCTACTAACAGTGATGTCTCCGTAGGTCTACTAACATTGATCTCTTCGTGTGGCTACAAACATTGATGTCTTCGAGTGTCTTCTTACATTGATGTCTTTGTGGGTCTACTAACAGTGATGTCTCCCTGTGTCTACTAACATTGACCTCTCCGTGTGTCTACTAACAGTTATGTCTTCGTGTGTCTACTAACATTTATGTCTCCGTGTGTCTACTAACATTGATGTCTGCGTGTGTCTACTAACATTTATGTCTTCGTGTGTCTACTAACATTTATGTCTTCGTGTATTTACTAACATTGATCTCTTCGTGTGTCTACAAACATTGATGTCTTCGTGTGTCTACTAACATTGATGTCTTTGTGTGTCTACTAACATTGATGTCTCCGTGTGTCTACTAACATTGATGTCTTCGTGTGTCTACTAACATTGATGACTTCCTGTGTCTACTAACATTGATGTCTTCGTGTGTCTACTAGCATTGATTTTGTTTAAATTGGAAATGCTTTACTGGAATGTTGGAGGTGATAGTCCATACAACTATCATTAACTGTACATTGTATTCCCGTCGTTCACCTATCGTACAAAGTCGGCCTCCCTTCGTTAAACAATTCCCCTCTCTTTATGCGTTGGTCAAGGTGTACTATTCTATTAAAGGTATACATGCTCACAGTGGTAGAGCAGTAAATTGCTAAATGGAATAGTCTCGTTATGAACATCAACCATCATTAATTTTGATTCCCGCTTATGGCGTTCGATATCATTAGATTGCAATTAAGAACTGTATATAGTTTCGTTCACTTTGCAATCCCCAAACAAACAAATCGTTGCTCAAATCTGTTATGCGTAAATGGCGATGATTTTTCACGATATGATGGAAAAGAAAAGTTATGTGATCGCCAGAGAAGTTTTCGGTAATCAATGAGGTCAGTTGTCCCTTTACAGCTTCCTTGAGATTAGCAACCATCTTTGAATCGTTTAACTATATGGCTTGTGATTACATCCAGAAATCTCTACATTTACTTTTAGTGTGCACACTAGCGCAGGCCTTTTCAAGCTTAGCTTTGATGGTACACTACTACTGTGTTTTGCTGTCACTTGATATGGAAACATGTCTTTTTGTAATGCTGGGTAAATATACGAGATCTTGTTACTTGTAGAAGAAATATGAGATAGTTGGTAGCTTGCATTTTGCATGGTCAAATGGATACGTGAGATAGAGGGGCCAATCGGAACCCTGGACAATTTTTGGTATATATGATCATTTGAGGTGAAAGATCAAGGCCACCAATAAAATGAACCCATTTCCAATTTCTAATCTAGAGTTATCATTCTTACGACTAAAACAAAGATGCACGGAATAGCTTTTGAGACCAGTAGAAAACATGTCCATATCGTTACTATCACTACATAAGTATTGTATTTGAGACAAGTAGAAAGCATGTCCATATCGTTACTATCACTACATAACTATTGTATTTGAGACCAGTAGAAAGCATGTCCATAACGTTACTATCACTACATAAGTATTGTATTTGAGACCAGTAGAAAGCATGTCCATATCGTTACTATCACTACATAAGTATTGTATTTGAGACCAGCAGAAAGGATGTCCATATCGTTACTATCACTACAAAAGTATTGTATTTGAGACCAGTAGAAAGCATGTCCATATCGTTACTATCACTACATAAGTATTGTATTTGAGACCAGTAGAAAGCATGTTCATATCGTTACTATCACTACATACGTATTGTACTTTCATGGAGAGGACTTACATAGGCTGTGCCTGTTTCCAAATCCATTTGACAACTTTCCTCCTAGGTCAATAAAATATGTTGAAATGAAATGTGTTATCTGTTCTTTTTGGTTTAAAGTTATCAAAGTTAATAACGGATATCCACGGAAGCCACAAGGAGGAGATCTTGATTTGTTACAGTTATAACACTGTCGTGAGATTCCTTTTAAGGTAAATAGGTCACTGCTTCTAAAAAAACATTTTTTCGGAGACTTCAAATATAGGACAATAAACGGTAAACGTCATCGTAGATGTACTTGGTTTTACCTACACGATCTTATTTAATGTCTTGTTAGATTAGATAAGTTCGACTTATATTTTGGTACTATAAACAGCTGCACTATACAGACCCGTGGGTTACATACCTACTATCAGTAGCATCATTCAACTGTAGCTACCTTTTTCGAAAACGAAGTAATTGTGTGCCTTATTCCCATGACAAACACAATTGTAACACGTTGCCATATCGAACACAACTTACCTATGGACTCATGAATACCCGCTAATGAGGTGTTAGATAGCATATCGCGCTCGTTGTTTCCTCTAGCATCATAAAACTTGGTATGCTGTTATATCTTGGTATGACAGAGTCTTATGTTAAGACAATTTCCCTATCAGCTATATTTTGACATTTGACGTTATCTAAAATATACAACATGCAGTCTGTGTATATATTTTTGACGTGACACTCCGCCTTTCTAAGATGTACCAGTATATCATGTGTGTGGATCTCAGGTGAAATGATGAGAGAGATACCCCACTTACTTTATGAGGGAGATTCAATGTATTGCCCGGACAAAAAGTAACTCACATACTTTTCCACTTTTAATTAAAGTCAAAATGTAGATCGCATTGACCTATTTTTTATGTATCACTCCACTTTCGCAAGATGTACCATCATAACCACTTTGATGATCACAGGTAAAATAGTGTGGAAGGTATGTTCCAGCCAACCGGTTTTTCACATATTTTGCACTTTTAATGAAAGCCTAAAATGAAAATATAGGTCACAATGACCTATTCTTTTATGTGACACTCAGCCTTCCTAGGTTGTACCAACTTAAAAACTTTAATGCTCGCAGGTATAATTATGTGTGAGATTTGCTCCGTACAAACTGTATCACACACAGTTTGCAATTATTAATAAAGGTCAAAGGTCAAAATGTAGGTTACATACCCATTTTTTACATGATGACACCCCACCTTCCCAAGATGTACCAGCATACGTTGTTGGATTGTCCCAGATGCAATAATGTGGGAGGTATGATCTGGACTACGCCTGGGACGCACAGACGGACGGACTGATGGAGGGCATGACCATTTCCGTCTGTCCGCTTTGCGGTGGGGATAAAAACAAGTGTCGAAATGTCCCGTTGTTGTGATGTAAGGTGTGGCGCCGTTTAGGCGTTCGTATTTTACGTCAATATTTACAAATATATTAATACATGCATACAAGTACAACATCAATATTATATAAACCAACAAAATAGTATTGGCGTTCATGTATGTCAGCTGTGTTATAGGGAAGTTCAACTGGCCTTCGTTTAAATTTCATGTGGTACACCTGAAAAAGATCTATAGTACGAATGATTGTCATTTTAGACCAGCCAATAATCTTTCACGTTTGAAACAGTGGTGTTGAATAATTTATCATCTATTATTGCTGCCTATATTTGGAAATTTATAAAACGGATGATACATTTACACGCAGGTTGCGTACAGTGCCTGAATTTAGCGAACATCATTACCACGAAATAGTTAGGGTGGATTCCGGCCCTCTTTACCGACTGTTCTGTACCCTTACTTACGCATCTTAATCACACGTGTATATACCTGGCCTCAGCTTTGTAAACGTTCCTTATCTTTATTTTTACCCATAGAAATGCATGATTGGATTTAAAAGAATATCTTAAGTAATTTCTTTGAAGAACGTTCGTGAAAGTCGTGCCTTTGTAGCTACACGCCTTTAAGATGTTCTGATATAAGGAACAGCTATGTGCTGGCCAATTTGTTCTCTGATAACGTTTATCCTTCAGTTAGGATCAAAGCAACTTGATACTTGAAACTGGTAAAAAATGCTTTGGTATAAAGGTGTAGTATATAAATACGGCACTCGGATACGAAGTGCCCTGAGTCTCGGTGAAGGAATTAACAGTTAAAATAGACTTATCACGCAAAGCAAAGGCCCAATGAATAGGACAACAAAAGGATGGCCGCAACACTGTCAACGTTGCCGTAATATATATATATAATTATATATCATGTGAAACATTACCATAATAACTTACACATCCACGCTGAAGTCGCGCTCGTCTAAGACAAACTCGTGCGAGTCCTTGACTCTGTAGCGTGTTACAGTCTCCTCCATGTCGAATTCCCTTAATAATTGTTTCACTATAGCTTGATTTCTCATCTTCTGTACGTCCGAATACGGACGTTGAGGGTGGGGTGTCCATTTGTCCGAACAGAAGGAGTCCGGTGACCCATCCCTCTCTCTCCGGCTCTGCTCCATCATTGTACCGTGTGGTTGTGAGGGGTAACCAAACTAACATCACACATCAGTCATTAACTTAATGCTTATTAGAGAATGTCGGACCATCTCAATTTTTCATAAGTTGAACGATCTCTATTCCACAGCACGCGATGATCATGAGCTGTACCGGTCCACTTGGCGTGACGGGGGGAATGGTAAATTCACGCTATGTTAGTAGAGGTGGATGCCAGGCCAGAGAGCGTGTAACTGTTTATTGACAGGGTCGCCAATGTTAGAGTAAACACCTAGGCCAGACGGGATCCCGTGATGTTGTAAACATGATCTGCAGCCATAAATGTCCCGCCCGTTATCAGTAGGCTGATTTATTATGCTAGCGTACACAGTCGCAGTAATGCCTACAATTTGCATGTTTTGTTTATCAGTATATTGTCATAATTAATGAGGAAATTGTATTAAGGCAGTCTGTGCCGTCGCTAGGTACTGAAGCCAGCGACTGCAACCAGTGTAGCGAGTGACGAATATCATGATCACTGATGTTACTAAAGAAAGCAACGGCCGAAAATCGCGAGGACAACTAAAACTGGTGAAACGGGTAGATCGTTGCCGGGTTCGTGAGCTATTAATCACAGTCACTGGTGTTGATGATGACGAATCGAAACTATCACAGATATCTAACGCTGGTATCGACGTCCACACTAGTAATGACGGTCACTGTAACTAATGAAGTCAGTAATGACAGCAAATCTATTGGCGCTAATGATGACGGCACAGAGATCGTCACAGACATCTAACGCTTGTATCGATGTCCACCCACACTAGTAATGACGGTCACTGTAACTAATGAAGTTAGTAATGACAGCAGATCTATTGGCGCTAATGATGACGGCACAGAGATCGTCACAGACATCTAACGCTAGTATCGCCACAAACAGTAGTAGTGACAGCACCTGATACTAATGATTCATCTAACGCTAGTACATGTATAGACCCTCCATGAAGGTAGTAGTGACGGCTATCGGCGCTAGTGTGACGGGCCAGAGACCGTCACATACCTATAACGCTAGTATCGACGGCTACCAACGCCGTAGTGACGGGTATTCGAGCTAGTATCGACAGCTACCAACGCCGTAGTGACGGGTATTTGAGCTAGTATCGACAGCTACCAACACCGTAGTGACGGGTATTCGAGCTAGTATCGACAACCACTGAAACTAATAAAGACGGACACTGAAGCTAACAGTGACGGCTTTTGGGGCTAATGATGACAATCGAGAAACCTGCTCGTGCTTCTAGCGTATGTTTCAATGGCCACTGAAACTGGTGACAACCACTGAAGCTAGTTATGACACTTATGATGTTAATAATAACGGCCGAGAGACCATCACACGTTTCTAACGCTGATATTTACCATCTCATGGCACTGCCACTACGAATGCCATGGACCGATTGTTGACGTCATCATTATTATGAGGTCATAATTGTTACGTTGGATACCACTGACCCTCCCTGGGCGATGGATGTTCTATTCATTGAAGAAGCATGTACACGGTGCATACATACTAAACGCTGAATGATAATTAGTGTAGTTAAATTTTCTAAGAAATGAACAGATTGAAAAATTGTAAATGTAAGTATTGAACTGCTTTCAGTTGGCATTCATAGGCAATATGAATTCCGACTGGACAAATGCAAATCCAACATGGAGCGCTAGTGCGCTTCATTGAATTTGCTTTTGTCCAGTTGGATTTCATATTGCCTATAAATACCAACTAAAAGAAGTTCAATGCTTAAATACTGACAGCCACTGGAGCTAATATAGAGGGGCCATTGAAGTTAGTTATGACGCCTAACTGGTGCTAATGGTAACGGTCCAGAGACCACCCCATGTTTCTAACACTAGTACTGACAGACACTAAAGCTTATATAGACGGTCATCGAAACTAGTGATGACGTCTAATTGGTACTAATGATAACGGTCCAGAGACCACCCCATGTTTCTAACACTAGTACTGACAGCTACTAAAGCTTATATAGACGGTCATCGAAACTAGTGATGACGTCTAATTGGTACTAATGATAACGGTCCAGAGACCATCCCATGTTACTAACACTAGTACTGACAGCCACTAAAGCTTATATAGACGGTCATCGAAACTAGTGATGACGCTTAATTGGTACTAATGATAACGGTCCAGAGACGTTCACATGTTTCTAACACTAGTCCTGACAGCTACTAAAGCTTATATAGACGGTCATCGAAACTAGTGATGACGCTTAATTGGTGCTAATGATAACGGTCCAGAGATCATCACATGCTAGAATGTATTAATGACCATCGACACTAGCAATGACGGACACTGGAGCTATTGCCGACGGTCACGGAAGTTAATATATAGACGGTTAATGAAGCTAGTAAATACGGCCATTGACGCTAATTCTGACGGTTCAGAGGCCGTCACATGCTTCTTGCTAGAAACGGTGATAATTGAAGTAATGGAGTGCGACCATTTATAGTTACCCCCATGTCACTGACTCACTTTCAGATCATATACAACTCACCGTCCATACGCTAGTGTTTACTTATGTTTACCAGGGCCTGCACGCACCTTTGTCGATACATCAAACTAACATCTAACACAGATAATTTATAAGTATCCCTAAATTTAAAGCACACATTCCATCATAATATCTCTCGAGAATGTCATTTTTTCGATGTCCAATTATTTATTGCTCCAGTAAAACAATTTGCACGTCGTTAAATGATGAAGAGTAAGCACTTGAAAATGATCTCATTCAAAATACATGTGTGCTTAAAAGACTAAACGTGATATGAAATATGGTCAAGATATATTTGCTTTTATGTATCACGTGTCTTTGTTGATTTTCTTCTTCAGTACGATACATAATGTACGTATTCATATCATATACATGATGTGTGTGCTACGACTTTGTACCTGTTCTGATATTACGAAGGCTAATTTAAGTTTTTTATTTTATTTTAAACAGTATGGACACTTTAGTTCTAGGGGAAACATATTGTTGAGGAAATGCATATCTGGCGGGGGAAATTAGCATAACTAAAGCAAATCGACGAACATGGAACACAGTGGTAGGGACAAATTAACGAACATGAAACACGGCGGTGGGGACAAATTAACGAACATGGAACACGGCGGGGGATAAAAATTAACGAATATGAAACACGGCGGTGGGGACAAATTAATGAATACGAAACACAGCAGTGGGGACAAAATAATGAACATTTAACACAGTGGTGGGGACAAATTAATGACATGGAACACAGTAGTGGGGAAAATTAATGACATGGAACACAGTAGTGGGGACAAATTAATGACATGGAACACAGTGGTGGGGACAAATTAATGACATGAAACACAGTAGTGGGGACAAATTAATGACCTGGAACACAGTGGTGGGGACAAATTAATGACATGGAACACAGTAGTGGGGACAAATTAATGACATGGAACACAGTAGTGGGGACAAATTAATGACCTGGAACACAGTGGTCGAGACAAATTAATGAACATGGAACACAGTGGTCGAGACAAATTAATGAACATGGGACACAGTGGTCGAGACAAATTAATGAACATGGGACACAGTAGTGGGGACAAATTAATGACCTGGAACACAGTGGTCGAGACAAATTAATGAACATGGGACACAGTAGTGGGGACAAATTAATGACCTGGAACACAGTGGTCGAGACAAATTAATGAACATGGGACACAGTAGTGGGGACAAATTAATGACCTGGAACACAGTGGTCGAGACAAATTAATGAACATGGGACACAGTAGTGGGGACAAATTAATGACCTGGAACACAGTGGTCGAGACAAATTAATGAACATGGGACACAGTAGTGGGGACAAATTAATGACCTGGAACACAGTGGTCGAGACAAATTAATGAACATGGGACACAGTAGTGGGGACAAATTAATGACCTGGAACACAGTGGTCGAGACAAATTAATGAACATGGGACACAGTAGTGGGGACAAATTAATGACCTGGCACACAGTGGTCGAGACAAATTAATGAACATGGGACACAGTAGTGGGGACAAATTAATGAACATAGAACAGCGGCGGACACAAATGAATGAACAGGAACAGAGCGGTTGGGACAAATTAATGAACATGGAACGAGGTAGCTGAGACAAATTAATGAATATGGAACGAGGTGGAGACAAAGTAATGAACATGAAACAGCGTTGGGGACAAAGTAATGAACATGGAACAGCGGTGGGGACAAATCAATGAACATGGTACAGAGGTGGGGACAAATCAATGAACATGGAACAGCGGTGGGGACAAATCAATGAACATGGAACAGCGGTGGGGACAAAGTAATGAACATGGAACACATTGGTCGAGACAAATGAATGAACAGGAACACAGTGGCGGGGAAAAATTAATGAACATGGGACAGCGTTTGGAACAAATAAATGAGCATGGAACAGCGGTGGGGACAAATCAATGAACATGGTACAGCGTTGGGGACAAATTAATGAACATGGTACAGCGTTGGGGACAAATCAATGAACCTGGAACAGCGGTGTGGACAAATCAATGAACATGGAACAGCGTTGGGGACAAATCAATGAACATGGTACAGCGGTGGGGACAAATCAATGAACATGGAACAGGGGTGGGGACAAATCCATGAACATGGTACAGCGTTGGGGACAAATCAATGAACATGGTACAGCGGTGGGACAAATAAATACATGGAACACAGCGCTGTGAACAAATTAACGAACATAGAACACAATGGTGAGCACAAATTAAAGAACATGGGGATAAATTATAAAAAGACGTTTATCCGGTCAAAATATACAAACTTGCGATAAAATGACATAATATTTATATGAGCAAACGTGGGACATAGTGTTTTGGACAAAGAATTGATGGATAATTTTGGGACAAAATATTGACTGATTTCATTTGGGACTAAGAATTGATGAACACAGTGTTTTGCCAAAGTATTGACGGACTTAGTGTATTGACAAAAAACTAACGGGTACAATATTGGGACAAAGAATTCACAGCCAGAGCGGTTGTACAAAGTATTAACGGACTGAGTGTTTGAACAAAGAATTGACGGACATGGTATTTGGACAAAGTGTTGATGGACTTTCTGTTGGGACAAAAAATTGACGGACTTTCTGTTGGGACAAAAAATTGACGGACATAGTGACTGAGACAAAGGATTAACGGACACAAGGTTGGGGCAAATGAATAACCGGGCATATCGTGGAAACAAAGAACTGACAGACGAAGGTTTGTGATATATAAAGAATTGAAGGACGATGAATTACC